TATTATACTTACTTTCGATATTTATTGAAGTAAATTATAATAACTCCTACTAAAAGACAGGCTGCAATAACGCCAGTAGCTATTCCGATATAACTTCCGGCTGGTTGCAAAATATGTTGCAATAGTTAATTCAGACATAAATTCGTTAATATCTGACTATGACAGTCGATCACAGCATTGCACTATAATATTGAATGATTAAGTTACTTATGTGATGTAAATGCTTACTACTTAGTCCGGAAAATATTTTTTGACAATGATTTCCTTCATATCCGTTATTACAACTAAGTATTGAAGTAAAATAAACAATATCAGCCAGAAATCCTGACGTTAATTAATACTAGAATGCTGGGATTGGTAAAATTGATTAAAATATTTACGTTAGTCTGAAATACCGTAAGACAAAGAATATATAAATTCACCTGCAGCTTGGCCTGTTATATGATAATATCTTGCATTTGCCTGCATAACTACAATATCCAGCTGAGCAGGTAAAACCTAAAATAATAATATAATCGAATTCGTTACAAACTGCTATAATTTATCATAACCTGCCATTTATTCAACTATAGATATAAATGTTTCGTATTTGATACTATAGTATCATCCTTAATAGTTCTATTATATTGAAATATTTACGTAATTCTGGTAGCTAATAAAATATTGCATTATAGTCGATAAAATCTTACTGATATTCATAGTAGCACTCTGTATAAACTTATTATTGACGGTATCATTAACAAGGCATTGATAAATTCCATTATCGCCCAGCATTAGCGGATTAAAATATAGTATTGAAATATAAGTATTTTTCGACGAGGAATCTTTAGTATCAATTTCAGTATGATTCTTTAGACGTATTGGAATATTATCTTTGATCCAGGTAAATATTGGTCTTGGTCGGGCGATTACTTGACAGCTTAGACTAACGTAAGAGTCAACTTTAAATAAGGTCGAATTTGAAATAAGCCGGACATTATTGGCAGGAATATCTGAGATAGAGAAACCAATATATTTTAAAATGATGTTAGATTGGATACTTGAAATACTGAAAAGGCTTTAAGATTACTTAGTAAAGATGAAAATGGACAAAGTTACTACACTAAAATACTTTTCAAAATCCTGTTATCAGAATACTAAAGAACGGTCTTCAAATTTAAATAATTCCATTTCGTAAATCTAAATTTACTTGGTATAATAGTTTCACAGAAACTTCCGGTATAATCGGCGCTGCAGCTATATATATAAATATATTATAGAATAAAAAAGTTGACTGAAGATAAAAAGATGCTGTGACGCTATGTGGGATAATATAATGTAATTTACAATACTTTAACCGTTATGATCTAATCGCAAGCTAATACGAAATTTAAGAATTCATTTTATCATTTCATTGCATTTTAATATAGAAGTAAAGCATCTGATCAGAAATCCGTTTATAAAATAATGAATAATTCGCACGTAAAAGAATTTTGTTTTTCTGCGATTATTATACATAGTTGTCTCTTTGCAACGAATTCCTTTTATGTGAAACTTAAATTAAGAATTTTCTACATTTACTTATTTTTATAGGGTAATATTAGACAATTTGTAATATGAAATTATTTTCACTGTCTAATAGTGATCATTATCGAAGCTAAAGGATTGGACTGATTACGATCGCAAATGAATTCTTCATATCGTAAACTGTATATCAATTAAATTGCAGTGTCAATTGCTGTAACCATAAATTATTTGAAATATTTTAATAATCTCCAAGAATATTGTATCTTGATTTGAATACCTGCATATTAGGCTACTGCCGCTAATAGAACAATGTCCTCCATGCCGACAGAAATTTGGTGGACATGTTACTTCTAATTAGGTGAAGGCAATTAATTTTTGAGTTAGCACTACCAGATGTTTGAAATTTTAATTATACAATATCGATTGTGCAACAAACATGACTATCAATTTATCTGTACAAATAAGTACTTATAATCCATGGTGTAGTCTCCAGCAGATTATGATTAAAGGTATCGTTGGCAATACACTGGTATTTTCCATTATCTTCCGTAGATAGTTGATTTATTAATAGGATTGATGTAGCCAAATATTTAGCAGGATCATTCGCGATGATGATATAGGAATTATTTCTCGGTTTTACTGGAAGATTATTTTTGATCCACGTCACGTTGGATGGCGGATATGACCTGGCTTTGCACTCAATGCTAAGTGGCAAACCAAAGAAATAATTGGAAGTGTTGGCTTGAATTTGAACGGATTCAAGGGTTATGCCAACATCTACGGAGAGTAAATGCAAATACTATTTACAGTCCTGCTATTACCATAATGATAGAAATTCATTTAAACTGCGATTATTACGATAATTTCTATATATTGTATTTTAATATTAAAATAAGTGAAAGCATTCTTACCGATATTAATGCTGTCGCTTTTTATAGTTTTATTAAAATGAGTATCTTTTACATGACATGCATAACTACCAGCATCCAAAATAGAAGCGCTACGAATGATTAATGTTGATTTTAACTCGTAGTAATTATTGTCATTGGTCATTTTAGACATTGATACGTTATTTTCCTGTCGAATCACAGAATTATTTTTCATCCAAAGCACAATCGGCACGGGATAAGCAATAATGGAGCATTGTATGATGATAGATTCATATTGGCGATACAATATTGCATTAGTTTGAAGTTGAGCACTTCTTAAAGGCACATCTGCATAATGTGTTAAAATAAATAATGAATAAATTTAATGTCTAGAGTAACTATGGCTAACTTTATTAATTCAAGCAAGAACTACCCTCAAACATATAAGTCTGTATCGATGCTTTTAAAATAACAAATTAACTGCAATAAATATATTTACAATTTTAAATTTTTACTAAATTATAAAGTTTCATCTTTAATAAAACTTGCGCTTTGATATTAAATAAGAATAGTAGGTTAGGCTTATAGACACATCGAGGATATAGGCATCTTTCATGCACTAGAAATGCAGTAATATCTTTACTTCTATTTCACTACTTACAAGGTAGCAATGTATTACAATAGGATCCTCCATAGCCGAAGGTGCAATTACTGTAAAAGAACGGAATGTAAAATAGATACGATTAAATTGATTATATTGCACATTTTTTTCTTGTAAACTCTGTTTAATCTACGGTATCTGATTGATAGGTCTCTTTTGCTATCGGATTGTTTAAGTGATGTATACCTGCAAACAAATTTTCCGCCAGTAATCGTGCAATTTCCTCTATTAGAACAGTATGCGGGAGAACAAGTAAAGCCTAAATTTCGAAATTGAAGAAAACCTGTTTAATAGTCACTGACTATAGCGGTACCATTTGGAAAAGCAAAATTTCCTTTCATTTAATAGAAATTACAACAAGTTTGTAATATTTTAAAATAGAATGACCTATCGCTTGTTGGTTGCTCTGAACGATCCTATCAAAGACTTCATCTTTGGCAATGCAAGAATAATTGCCGTTATCGCCGAGCGTTATAGATTTAATTTCTAAGGTTGACCTGGAGCCATTTTTAACCGATACTGTATCATTTTTTATGACTTTAATCCAGGAATTGATTATTATTTGGCCATCTTTGAGCCATGATATTTTTGGCAATGGAATAGCGTATGCAACACATTCTAATAATAACCTTTGACCAATTGCTACTGTATTTGTACTTGCTTTCAGGGTAACAGTAGTTAAAACTACATCTGTTGAAATGAAAAAAGTGAATAAGTGTATCAAACATGTGTTGCAGAGATCATATGGATACTTCCTTCGTGGATGGTTAATGATTGTGCAGAACATTTAGCCACGGCAAATTGAAAATTAAAAGACGTAGTTTATGAAGAATTTACACTACCGTTAACACATTGATATCCATTCCAATATCCGTTCTCGCATAGACAGGCATATCCTCTGAAGGGTTTCAGTACGTTGACACAAGTTGCACTAACTCGCCCGCATGGTGAACTTAAGCAAGGATTTATATCTAAAAATGCAAATCAGTTGATATTAATTACTTCTTGCTATTAAATGATTTTCAAATAAGTAGCCCTTATTCTGTTATATATTATACAGCAAAAGTATTATGAAGCTGTATCATAAGTAAACACTATCACTACGTAGGTGAAAGTATAATCTTACCGGATTCGCACTTGTAGCTAAATTTCAAATTCGTGGATTTGGAGACCAACATAATAGTTAACAAAAGTTAAGTTTATAGCAATTTGGTAAAGTATTACAAGAGTATTAGAAAGCTAGAAGGGCGCATAAATGATGATCAGTGCTAATGATCTAACTTACAATCTCACGAAATTGTTCAATTAATTCTTAAACGTATTAGAGTACCATACTATAGCAAATTTAAATTTTTCATACTCAACAAATGATTCTACCAAGCTCTTACCTAGCTGATAGTGAAGTTAAGTTGCTCAAATTGGAATCCAGTGGACTATCTGTTCGTTATTAAAAAAGTATTAATATTACTATTTTATTGATAGGATTCATTTTTAAACTTACAATGTAAAGGGTGTACCTATGCAATATATTGCTGCACTTTTAGAGCAGGATGAAATGTTACTTTCTACGTGGTTTTGGCTACAATCATTGAGATTAGGCTCATTCCCTGTGCAGTTAATCCCGCTCATGACTTTGGATATTAATGGATCTTCCAGATTACTGCAGCATTGGGTTCGAAGTTGTGCATCCATAAATCCAAGCTGACGGCATGCCACACGTGCATGGCTGAACTGCCAATCTTGCGAGCAAATTCTACTCCATTTATTGCCCTTGTAAATTTCTACGGTTCCTATATTATATTTATTACCAGCTACCAGACGAATCCCTATCAGTCTTGAATCTGAAATATAACGAAATCATTTTACTTTTATTAGAATAAAGAGAAAAGAACGCAAATTAAATATTTTCTTTTAAAAGGAATAGGTTGTTAAATGAATTTTTTGACGGCATCAGATGAAATTCCTTAATATTGAAGAATTGAAGATGCAAACTTACAAAATAAACAGTTGTATCCGCTATAATCTTCAGGACATTGACAGGTAGCAAATCCATTAACAAATTTACAGACTGCTCGACCTCCAGCTTGTGTTGCACATGGATGTCTATCGCAAGCATTGAATTCTAAATCGACAAGAAAAAATTGACTTGGTAGCTGTTCTATTCCCTAATATTGAAGGTTTAATTTAACAGGTCTGGAAGCAGCTAGGTAGACCTAAAAATGATTAGTTAAAGATTGCTGAAATCTAGATCTACCTCGATCGCAGTTGTAGCCTGCTTGCCCTGAATTACAGCGACACTTATAAAATGGTTTAGTTGCTATCATTCGGCAGAAGCCATTGAGTCCACAAGGCGTTGGTGATGTAGAACAAGGATTCTCTAAATGATGTCAAGAAGAATAAGCTCAAATAGTTATACAGTTTGTGTTAATTCAAAGTAAGCGAAAGGGTTGGTATACTTTGGCACGTAACTCCAACCAGCGTGTTGGAATTACAGTCTTTAGGAATAATTGAGGCTAACTGACAGTCCAACATGGAAGTTTCATTGCCAGTACATTGAACATTAGCTTTATCCCAAAAGTAAAATCGTTAGCATAGAAAGCCAAAGTGATAAGATTGATTAACTATTAATATCTTTTAACCCTATCGTTTACGATAGCTGCAGTTTAGATTAAAGAATGTTTGTTAAAAGTAGTCGTATTTCCAAATAACAGAGATATAATTAATGCTTACAGAATAATATTCTACCCGGTGCTGAACCGAAGAACGAATTCGTTTTGACATCTTGGACCACTTCATAATTTAACATTTTGCATATAACTCGAGCAGATGTCCTGCTGAAAATTGATTTACTGCATATTGTGCCCCATGTTCCGTTGAAATAAATCTGCACCGTTCCTGATCTGATGTTATCCACACCATATGGCGAATAAAACCGGACGATACCGTTGATAATTTCTACATGAAGATGATAAATTTATTGCCCATACCAGGCAATTAGCAGCGTTAACTTCTCTATCAAAATACTGTCATACATTTAGATAGCTATGCAATGGATTATTCCCGTTACGTATTTTGCTACGATAGCTACAGATATTAATTCACTGTACTCAAAGTAAAAATTTTAAGTGAATGCAAAAGGAGTTAGAATTCAATTCTAGTTATTCTGCTACATTGATTTAAGGCTATGGACATTGCTAACCTTTTTTGCAATTCTTTCCGTAGTATCTATCCGAGCAGTAGCACTTATAACCCAGCGCTAAATCTAAACATGTCGATCCAGGTCCACAGGGATTGTCGGCACACGTTATTTGTTTTGGATGATCAACTAGAAAAGAAATACACCGATAATCCATTTGACCTTAAAATCTCAAGTAAACTCAATTATAATGCTATTGAAATAATTTGAAGCTGAATTTAAATGATCTTGTTCTAAAAATTAGCTGGTAGCCATCTTATATTCCAGGTACATCCAGGTACCCTGTTTTAATTACTATCACGATCACTGATGTCCTAAAAATTGATAGAACTTACTTTTTTCACATAATTTGCCCGTAAATCCCCTACGACAGTCGCATGTTCCTTTACGTATGCCCAAATGATAAATGTACTCACAGTGTCCTCCATTTTGACAAGGGAAACTATCACAAAATCCATCTAGCAAGGTAAGAGAGTCCAATTATCAAGCGTTATTCCGATAGGTTTCTTAATTAGTTATCATGGTCAATAGATATGGATGGCAAAATACGTAGTTGCTAGACACAGTAACTTACATCGACAGCGAAGCCCCACAACTTGACTAGGACTGCACATTGTATTATACGAATCAAACTTGCAATCTATCAATTTCTTATCCTCATCATTACATCTGATGTTATGTAACCAAAATGTACCGTTATGTTGGCCAAATTCTGAACAGCAATAGAAATTTTCCTCGTTAATGAACCCTAGTTCTTGGCAGACCGACAGGCCACTAGCATCGGCAAAATCTCGACTGCAAATAGCACCCCATACATTATCGTGGTATATTTCCAAGTTGCCACTGTTAAAGCCTGTACCATTTACTAAGCGTAGCGTTCCTTCAGCAGCTAATAATTGTTTAAATTGGTAAGTAATATATTATGAATTTTCTAGTTTAATTTTGTAATAACTTCATGGTTGCTAATGTAGAGCCGAACTACCTTCAGAGCAATTTTTTCCTGAATAACCATTGACACAGTGACAGTAATAATCTAATATGTTAGGATAGCAAACGGCTCCATTTCTGCAAGGATTTGGAACACAGGCCTTTGCTTATAGATTAATTAGAAAGTAAATATAAGTTCTTCATGTCCTATTTACAATGATGCACAAATCTCAATGAAATTTAATCTACCAAACAAATACTAGCGACCCACATCCAATTTGAATTTCGACTGTTATAATTTGCTGTATAAAAAGATATTAAGTAGCTCAAGGACTTACTTATACAGATAATACCAACGTCATCGTTATGATTGCATCCAGCAGCAGAGGATATGGGGCTTAAATTACAATTTTTAATTTTCGTTTTATCGTTGCTACAATTTAAAGATAATATTGGAACACTGGCATGCCCTTTACCAAATACGGCATGATAAGTAAATCCTTCGAAAATTAAGTTTAGCTGATGACACAAAGCTTTGCCTTCTTGTTTAGTAATCGTATTACCACATACAGTACTCCATTTCATATTGTGAAAGATTTCGATCCTTCCTTCGTTTAATGTAGCTCCGTTTATTAGTCTCAAATCTCCCTCCAAAGCAGGTCCTACATTGAGTATTTATTATTAACACTTAATTAGGCAAGTTTAGAATGACAGAGCATCTAGAATTTCACTCGCTGTTAATTACTAAACTATACATGACTATGGTAGCTCTGCTATAATATTGAGAAATATTTTCGTAATATATAAATAGAGCAAAGGTCTACCTATATAGGTTTCGCATAAGAGTCCGGTGTAATACTGTGGGCATTGGCACTTAAAACCAAACCAGAATGTTCGGCAGGTAGCTCCATTTTGGCAAGGTATTCCACGACATTTATCATAGGCTGATAATATCATATAAAAACGGAAGGCCCAATTATTACACAATCGTGGAATCAAAGAAATACGTAAAGTATCGCAATACATGAAATTAAAGATATTTCAGTTGAAGTATGTATATGTTTTATAAATCAGGCATGATGGTCGACGGAATATACAGTGCATAGAGCTGTTGCTATATATCTATATAAATTGACAAGCTATTATAACGAAAAATTTGTAAAAGAAACAAAGATTAAGCTAATGCCACATACTTGTGGAACAGTTAATTCCAACATAATCTTTAGGTAAGCAAGCAGCGTTTTGGCTGATCGGATTTAATTTATATAAACATTCCAATATGCTACTTTCGTAGCCAGTACAACGCAGATTCGTCATCAAGGCGTCAGGTTGGCCAATTGGATAATTAGTCGAGAATGAGATTGCCTTACCGTAGCCTTGCTGCTGGCAAATCACATTGGCTGCATTGAGTGAAAAATGCTGCCTGCAAAAGCTGTACCATATACCTTGTAAGTAAATTTTAATTCGCCCCGCATAATACTGTTCGGGTTGAAAATAGGGTATTACAGTGTTGATAGAGCCATCTTTTGCAGGACCTTAATTGAAAATGGCCAAATAGAATTTAAATTGATGATCTACTTCTTCAGGTGTTTGCGATATTCTACTAGCATTACTAACACTGCTTTGAAACCCAACGTTGTCGAGAATTTAGTGTTAGAGATAACTCTACAACTTCGTATAGGGTGGTAAACGTAATATATCACGAAAAAGTGATAGCAATAAATCTTATTTATCCTCTAGTTGCAGTATTTACATTTGCAGTACCTAGATGACATTGCTTTCCATAATATGGATTGCTGCAGTGGCACTCATAGTAGGTTGCTTTGTATATATCGGAAACATTTCTAAACTTATCGATGCATGTGCCACTATTCTTACATGGCTTCCAATGACACAAAGCCATATACTCGCAATTTTTGCCAAAGTATCCAGGATCGCAATCACAGCGTCGTCCTTGATCACTATGGACAACCTCTCCATGAATACAGCTAAAATCCTTCGGATTTTTTTCTTAAAAATTGAAATTAATCTTAGTTATGAGCATTATAAGTCGCTCATGTATAATTAGTGACCGATGGCAGATTCATAAGATGCCATTTACTTTACTAAATATAATATCTGCAACTCCATACTAGTAAAATCTATATGATATTTTGTCTCAAAATTGTAATACTTCTTAGTTATGAGCACTGTAATTTGTATAGGTCTAAAATTGTGTATAGATTCAAGTTGCTAAGATGCCACTGCTTTGCTTAATATATTAAATGTTACTCTATACTAACAAATTGGATATAATATAAAAATATTTCTTATGAACATACTTTCGCATGTTAAAATTGTTGCACCACGACATTTGGAAGTATCTGGACCATAGGAAATATCGCATTGTGTAATATTACTTTCTTGACCAGAACAGCGCATACCAGTTATCCAGACTTTAGCAAAGCTCTCTCTTCCTCCGAAGCAGCAAGTATGCCAAACATAGCGATGGAAACCGAGTTGTCGGCATATAACTTCCCCTACTTGCTTCGTGAAATTATCATAACAAAATCCACCCCAAACACCGTTATGAAAGATTAAAATTTCTCCTTTATAATCAGTTATAAAGGAAATCTGTGTAACATCAAATTTGATAGTGCCACTGACGGGTTGAACTAGAAATGGAATATTATACCATTAAGTCTAACTGATTTTAGTATTTCACTATTAAATGTATTTAAAAGTTGGCTTATTTTCATCTATGTTTAGAGTTAATTTTAAGGAATAGCTATAGATTCTTACTGTAGAGTGTTTCGCAATTTTCGCCCGTGTAGCCTGGCGAGCACACACAAAATCTACGCCTGTTCATAGCTACACAATGTTTATTTTGATAGAAGCAGTTTTGTTGATGTAGGAAGGAGCATTCTTGTTTATCTTCATTAAATGATGGAATTAAAATTGACAATTTTTCAAGCTATTGATTAAGAAACCTCCATAGACTATATGCACGTATAGTAGATTTACATATGGAAGCTAATCTTGTAATGCTATAATCTACAAAATGTGAATTTATCAGCATAGTTGGATCTTTCTAACGCCAAAAGAGGCATTTAATGAGCCTCGTCAGATCTTTACTCGCATTAAGCGAGACATCTGATGAAATTTATTTAATAGACTTACTTTTGCATGTCAAGTAGACTGTTTTATTGCTAGCTTTGCAAGAATCTGGAATATTGTACCATCCTAGACTATTGCACTGGTTCAAATCGGTAGCATTAGTACTACAGAAGGCATTCCATAGAAGCATGGGGCCATAATTGTGTTCTTTAGGATCAATAGAATCCAAATCATACTTTTCAAAAGTTTCATATCCCGCAACTCCGCATGCCATTAGTAGCACTGATTCTATTTCTTTGCCTTCACCGCAGTATCTTCCCCACATTCCGTTGTAATAAATTTGGAAATAGCTGCCTAAGCCAGGATTTCCCATAAATCTTATTACGCCATCTCTAGAATATCCTAAGGTAACAAATGAAAAAAAATGGCATTCAATGGTATTCCAATATCAAGCAACATTCATTTATAGACAGAAAGTAAAAATATATGGTAGATTATTGTATGAAAGTTTGAATTAAAGATTGATTATTTGCATCGTCCTATTTTTGTAGGTGGCAGATTTCATTTCTTTCTTTAACATAGGCTTACCAGTGCATGTAATTAAGATGTCTTGCTTGCAATAGGTATGCGTAGAATTTTTAACCAAAGTATACTTGCATTCTTTAATATCTGCCTCCTTTCCGTTGCATTGCAATTCGTAGGATGCAGAACCTCGATAATTTTGTGTGTCCGCTTTACTAGCTGTAGCAAAGATGTAGCCCATTTTCGAACAGATAGCACGCATATTATGATAAGCATTGATTGGCGTACAAATATTGATCCATAAGTTATTGATAAATATTTGAGGTCGTCCTTGCATACTATTTTCTGACTGTCCGACAAGTCTTATTGACCCAGAAGCTTCTGAAACTGCAATAGCAATATAATTCGAAATTGAATATGATACTAAGGATTATCTCTTCTTTTCAAGAAGTAGTTTCGCTATAAAGTTTTAGCGAATTTTCGGCAGTATCAACATAAATGATGATGCAAAACATATAGATCGCATAAAATTAATTAATTAATAAAAGAAATAATATAGTGTTGCCATCGTGTCGAATGGTAGCTTATACAAATGAAATTAACTTACCACTAACACATGTTCTTCCAAAGTAATTAATACCGCATTTGCATTGAAATCCAAAAAACATATTTATACAGGTACCACCATTTTGGCAAGGATTTGATGTGCAAGGCTTATTAGCTGTTTATAAAATGATAAAATTAAATTGTAAGATACCATTTAATTCGGATGGCAATTATTAGTAACATAGACACTTTTACAATAAACGGTATCTTTTGCGTTTCGGTATGATATACACTAATGGACATAGATGATATATGATTAAAAACTATGGCGTTTTTAACTTCTTATAACATGATCTACCGTCATTAAAATATTCCGTAAAAGATATAGAATGTTGCTTACTTGAGCAAATTACTCCTGCATAGCTGTTATTACAGTTCGTAACATAGGAATTGTATCCCGAACATTGGGAAAGAGATTTTTCAAAACCAGTACATTTCATATTAGCCAAACCGTATTTAACTTTATCTTTTCCAAAAATACTACCATCAATTTTGCTAACAGCTCCTGCATATCCAGCATGTTGGCAAATTACATGAGCATCGTTTATAGTAAATTTATTGCTACATAATGGTACTATTTCGCTCCTTCCAATAACTACATCGATTCGTCCGAAATTGATTGCATTGCTATTAATACTACCGTTGATGATAAGTGAAGATCCATTGGACAATTTTCCTGTTAATGTTATAAATAGTCTTAGCATAAAATTAACTTCATTGTAGCGAAAATCTGTAAATAATGATCTTATTGACATTCCAATAAATAGTTAAAAGCTAATTACCAATTTGGCAATGCCTTCCGAAAAAGTAATTTGGACATCGACAATCGTAAGATGTGAAGGCTACTAGAGCGCATTGACCTTGATTTTGACATGGTTTCAGCGTCGCACAAAAATCAATATGTTGGCAAACATCACCATAGTATCCAAAAGTACATTTACATTCATCTTTTTCAGAAACTAAACCATTTACTACCAGCTTTGTACTAGTACATGTAGCATTATTTTGGCAAGTATTTGGATTACAGGTTACATCTACATACAGAATTATAGGCCAAAGGAAATTTAAAATACAGCTTGCTTATAATCGAAATAATTGACGAATATCATTTCAATTTGTGTGCGTCCGTAACTTACTAAAACATTTTACGTCGTAACGGGCCTTAGGCATCGTCGTATTTGTTCCGAATTGAAAAAAGCATTGTCGAATGGTAGTTTCTGCTCCTTTACAATAAATATTATTGATCCAATACTTTATGAACGGGGATGGACTAGAATTCTCTATATGATGTCGCTGATAGCCAACAGTATATCCTAATTGACGACATGCAATGTCAGCAACAACCGATGGATTATTAGCGCTTATGCTACCCCAAACACCTAAGTGAAAAATCTCTAAGGCTCCAACAGCTCGATAACTTAATTCTGTAGATTTAATTTCATGCTCATAGTCGTATATGCGAATTGTTCCATCTTTCCATGGTGATACTGTAATAAAAATGATATTGCATGACTTAATTTTATATCTAATTCAAAGCTCACATAGAATATTATTAGCTCAATTTTATGAAGCAAATTTTGAGCATAGTGCAAGGTATACCAGAGTCTCTTTCTAAGGAGTTTACAATCGTAATCATTAGCAGCTATAAAAAATTAATGTGACAATACTAATTCGATAATGTGTCTAATAGAACCTGAAATATTTGCGTAATATATAATTACAGTTTCTTTACAAATGAATTATATGAAATGAAGATTCATACAAGCTACATCATATTGCTATGAGTATTTAACGTACTGATTGGAGTTTTACAATTCACACCAGTATAACCTTCCCGACACGTGCATACGAAGCCAGAGTTTAAGGCCTTGCAAATTTTATTTTGCTGTGTACAAATATTATTTCCACTTGGGACACAGTGATTTGATGCAGCTATGGCAAGAAAGTAAAGGTGTCGTAAGGTTAAAGTAATAGCGCAAATACTTCGATGTGAGCAATAAGTTCGAATATTTATAAATAAATGCCATCATTGTAGGATGAGCCTGGTTATAGTTAATGAATTAAAAAAATGAACGTGCTATCATTACGGAAAGAAAATTCTTACCTTCACATCTTATAAAGTATCTAGCGGATGTAGAACAGTTAAAACTTGTTCCAAAATCAATATTTCCATTACACTCAAACAAGGTAGATAGTGTAGTATTACATTGTAAAGACGGAAGTAAGTATGGGCCTGGATTTTGTACTTCAGTAAAGTATTCTGCTCTGTTATAACCCAACTGGTGACAAACAACATCAGCTAGATTTCCTGCCAAGACATCATTAAAGCAAACATATCCCCAATCTTTGTTAATGTATACTTGCAGCTCACCAGCATTCGTTTCATTTTCGGTTAATAGGCGAACATCTCCTACTTGTGGATTGCCTGTATGGTCATAATATTATAATTTATGTTTATGCTACCAGTCGAGAATATGTTACAATGGCTGCTATTATAAACTAAGAACATTTGACTTTCATCGATGGAGCAAATAAAGCAGTTTATGGTTATGAAGAAAATGTAAGAAATCTAATAGTTTCATTAGAGATAATTATGATCAAATTGATAGCTATCAGTTTGACCGTCATTAAAACTGGTAAAAATCAGGATAACGTCAGAAGCACTTTTACTTAGATATTAGAAGACCCTTATGTAATGGAAACTTACGAATTTGACAGCTGGAACCTCTGAAAGGGTATACACACTGACAAGTATAGTTATTGGGAGAATTAGAACATATTCCTTTATTTTGGCATGGATTGGAATTGCAATAGTCACCTATAAATCAATCATGTCATTTTTGAGATATAAAATATACAAACATTATGATTGAACATACTGAAATATTTACAAAACTGCAAGGAAATATTTTGAACTCTTCTAGAGCAGCTTTATAGCGACAGTATTCATAAAATAGATACTATCAATATAACACACGTAACTGAATAAGGAATTGTTGTATTCTTACAAATCTTTCATTTATGGTATGAAGAAATGTTTAATTACTGTAATATATGGCTCTAACATTGTAAAATTTGATTTTTTACAATAGCGAATCAGGATTTGCCGAATGATAATATCAATGACATCAGAGGTTTATAGTGTTCACTGGCGTACTTTATCATTGTATAACTACTTACGTATTTGACAATTTTTTCCAGTAAATTTGTTGCTGCAGTGACATTGGTAAGACTGGCCATCGTTTATGTTTGTACATGAATTATTATTTTGGCATGGTGAAGAAGCACATGCTAATTCTAATAGAAGAATAAAATTCAGTTCATTTTGTCCTTACGATTCACATAGTTTCAGCGTAAATTTCTTGATATTATTTAAAATTCAATCTTACCGATTTCACATCTTCTGCCAGTGAAAGGGTATTGACATAAACATTTATATTCTTGACCATTGAAGTTAGTGGTGCAATTTCCGTTATTTTGACAATAGTTTACGGTCGAACATGGAGGAATATCTGCAGGAGAATTTGGCAATCAATATCGTTCAATTTACTACTATTTCTTTTAAATTTCTTTGATTTTTTTTGGTAACTAATTTTGATAAAAGTTTTGTTTTATATTGCAAATTCTTTCTCTTATTATTAGTGTTAGCAATTACTGGAATGAAAATTTTAATTGCAGCTTTCTTTGCTATAAAAGAATTCTTGTATCAACTTACAAGTTTGTTCACAGTTCTTTCCAGTTGTTCCGTACGGACATTTACAGTAATAAGCATTATACGCATAATAGCCATAGCAGATAGCATTATTCTTACATTGGTTATTAAAACAACCTCCTGAACAACTTTGAGCTAAAAATATGTTACATCAATTAATATTAAATCTATGATAGTAAAAAATATGACTAGATATAGGAAGGTCTTGAAAGACCTGCATAGAAAATTAAAGAATGCTTATAGTAGATTCGACATGTAGATTGTACAACAAACTGCTTCTTACTTGGTCTATTTGCTGCTGCATTATAGCATTCTTGATTTATAGTGGTGTTTGGACACATGCAGATATAAGATAGTCCGGTAGAAGTTTGGTAAACAGTTACACATTTACCAATATGGCAGGGGTTGCTGCTACAGGGGTAACTTGATCCGTCTAAAGCTGTAGATATGATAAGCCATCTCAGTTTATGTGCACTTAAATGATCAATGTAATTCATCATATCCTATTAAAGTAATGGTGGGATAATAGAAAGTATTCGGATATACGACGACTGTAACGCTGAGATTAGCTAAAATTTTCTAGAAAATATTGCTAAATTGTTGCATTTAGATTCCATAACAACATAAGTAAACCCAAAACTGCGTAAGTTGTTTTCTCGGTTTAATTAAACTTCTCGTAGACGTCAACGACTATTTCTTTATGTTGTAATTATGCTGTAATTAAGTCAGGCTTTCAAAATATTTCTCATTTAAATTCAATTGTCTCAACTAAATTAAAGACACTAAAGGAAATCTTTACTAGTTAGTACACGTGTAGAATATAAGCTATCCTATCAAGAAGGAGATTTTGCTCAGATCTAATGAAGCCGAAATACCCTATTTCAGTTGCACAATGCCACTTACCTGTTTGGCATGATTGTCCCGTAAATCCATAATAGCACAAACATTTTACAGCGCCTTGAATATTATAACAGACACCTTGCATGCAAGGATTACCATTGCACGATTGCGAATTAGCTAAAGGATGTAGTATCAAGGAGAGACATCATTTTTAGAATGGGCAATGCTGCGATCAAATATAAAGTTACGGGCTAAGAACGTTACACAAATTACAGGCGAAATTCATAGCATGACAAGTTTGTGTAATCCCATAGTTCTTTTACTAAAGTAATTTAACCCATAACGCTTTCGTAATGCTTTCTATATGTAATAAATATTGTTTTCAATTAGCTACTAGAAACTAGCTTATTTAGTGAATAAAATCTGATATAATAATTGGTTTCGGGTCCTCCTGAGATCTTTCTATTTGTAACCTTTACCAATTGTGTGTGCGTAATATAAAGATACTAGCTAAAGATGCAGTTTTATGTAATGATTTCTAATTTGTAGCTATATTATTACATTAAGAATAAAGAGCTTTAAAGCCATAATACTGCAATCATGATCTGACGTAGGTAAGGTTTAAAATAATGACAAAATTAAAGTATTTGATTGAAGTTGCACTTACTCAAGGCTATATTAGTATTGCTTGTTAAATGGATAAAGCATATAACCGAGACCTGCAAGGAAGATTTGATTTAGAAATTTATTAAAGCTATGGCATCATTAAATCCAAGGCTGTAATAAAAAAATTTGAGTAGCGTTAATCACATTACACGTTTTATGCCTTCAATAGAGTAAATTGTTAATAGCTATTTAATGATAGAAGGATCAAGACTAGAGAAAAACTACCTTCATGGTGCATAGAGTAGATTATATTAAAGTATTTTTGATCATAAGTATTTTACGTTATATAACTGATATTGTCTGTATACTAGCAATCATCGATTAATTAAATAGACAGAACATAAATAGACTTATGATCGTTTCCTACGACATAGTCTGTTTAATAGCTGCACTAACGGTGGCTAAGAAAACTGCTGTAACTACTCATATTTATACACCGGAACAACTATCGTAAAGTTTCATCTACTGGCAAATAGTAAAATCGTTTAAGTTCTAATTACGGCTGTATAAACTGCAGTTAGTTACTTAAAGCATGTAATATCAATCCTTTACTCCATACTATCGTGTTATGACTCTTATAATTTAGTGAAGGGCTTATATTTAGTACTAACTGATGAAACTTTAGATCAAGCTTATTATAACGTAAAACTGAAATACTCAATCTTGAATGTTAATATTCTATTTTGGATGATAGCATAAACATCATTCAATACTAGTCATTAAAAATCTAATTTATATATTAAGAGTAAAAGATTGGTAGTACTTATTTGAATAACTTACCAGCACAAGTACGTTAATTTTGCAGTAGAAAATCATGACTCAAATATCTTGAATGACATTTTACTACAATAGATCCGTCTCAAAATTTGCAACGATCTTATAAGGAAATTAAGCAAAAGATTAAGGTATGTTTTACATCTGTTGATATCATTACCAATCGATTAGAAAATGCTTTTAAATGGCTGTACTTTAATACTTTTAGCACCAACTGAGACAATTTTGTTCATAATTTCTAGACTTTAGTATACTAAGTAGAGAAGTACTTTAGCTACAATGTAGTCAGGTCAGATGATTGTCACACTAAAATATTAACGGAAGAAGGCTCATATCATTATAAATACAGAAATAGTAATCGCTTAAGGAATGGGCGTAACTTTAAGCCATTACAGCGCTCTTATTGGCCAGAAGATAATAACGGAATTAATAGAGTTACGATATTCTATAGTATATGAATAATGGCTAAATTAATTTATTAGACCCGCAACCGCCTAAGCTGATGGCCTTATAGTATTTAGTATTGACTAACACAGAGGGAACCGAGATACTGGAGCCGTCGAGAAAAAGGATATAAATGGAAAAGTTTATTATGTGAATATTTCAATACATAACAGAATAATTTATAAAAATTAATGTATTACTCGGCGTTGCATATTACAATATCACTTACCGGCAGGGGTTTTAACGGTATATTTTTAATAAAATTTATGACAATAATTATCCCATTATTATGTATCTAAATTTATCAAAACATGTTGAATGCTACATTTTCTACTCTGCCAGCAGTCAATTGTTGTTATTATAAACAGTAACTGAGAAATATTTTCGGTTATATCATTAATTTTCCATTTTCGATTCGATTAGAGAATGAAACTGATAGAAGCTGTATGAGATCAATTAATCAATTTCATTTAGCATGATTTAGTATGAATCAGTTGAAAGAAATTATGGATGGATTTATACATATAGTTTGCAATTATAGTCAGGATTTAGTAAAGCAAACTGTTGAGAACAAACTAAACAGCAAAATCGGGTATGATCACCTTAATAGGTTATAGATTTTCTTGATATATCTCTAGTAAGCGAAATTTTAACCATTCTAATAAAAGCACCGCAATGTAGTTAAACTCACGTGAATGATTGTCATAAATCTTCTTGAAACAATAATTATTAATAGCCCTAATCACCTAGCTTAGCTTTAAGTACAAAGGCCATGGCAAAGAGCTCACCTTAACATAGCAACCCATTATAAGAAATGAGGGCAAAAGGTGTTTATTATCAAAAGACAAATCTTTCTAGATATTTGCGACATACCTGTTCCCAGAAAGTATAAATTACTCCAAAAATTGCAAATAATATCGCTAATGTACATATGCACGCTTTACGCTTATTAACATACAAATTGGGATGAAAAATTTTCATTACTGCATGTAATACTTTTTGTTGTTGACAATCAATACGAAAAGTATTCAGAAATGGCTCGTCAGATGTGCAATAATTTATCGACACAATAACGGATTCTCTAAAAATCATCATTCCATCAACGAATACATTTAAATAATACGAAATTCTTATACTAGATGGAGATAGTGGCCTGTTTGCCAAATTCATTTCCTAATATCACTCTAAAATATGGACACTATCAAATTCGTTTAACTATGTAATTTTATACCAAATTTAGAGATTTAAATTTTTACTAACATAATTTAGGTACAGCTACAAGATCAAACTAGAAATACTATCGATGATAAATCACGGAAATGTTACTCTAAATGCTCTTTCATCAAGATATTTCACAACAATAAAACTCTGGATACCGTTAAGAATCGAATCGGAGACCAAGAAAAAACAATTTTTAAAATACTTGTATTAATTATAACTTTGAGTTCCAAGCAACATTCTGGTTCAACTTAAATCCAATATTTTAGTTTTGAATGAAATTTTAGAAAGCAAGGATCCATGCATAGGCCAGGTTTTTTAGGACAAACAGGACATAGGGTAGTTACTTCCAGTGTTATTTTTTTCTTCAGGCAAACTTGGCAGAGTGGATATGGCTTTTTTGATTTCGACCTACGTTCGAATTTAACTAAGTAATGTTTACCACTCAGTCTGATAACGGTATCTCTCTTAGCAAGCTGTGGCTCCAAGTCTCCAAATAAGTAATCACTTAAAACCTATAAATGAAATATAATCCAAGCTGATATATATAGTAGTAAGCAATGTCAATATCAGTTCCTATTTTGATAAAAAATCAATTACGTCGTGCTGAAACTCCAAGAACGACTTGCGTGACTTTGGTTGGTCTTTTCGATAAATTATAAAGGCATTTAGTAAACTGATTTGAAGTAAGAATAATGCCAATGATTTATACCACTTGAACGTGCTTCTAGTAGCACTGCACGCTTTTATCATCTATCATGAATTGCAGCAGGTTAGTAGATGACAAATAACTAACACCTGTTGTGTAATATTCCGGGATAATATGAGTATATGGTTATTAGTTATAAATTGTAATTTAAGCTGACTGCGATTCACTTATTTTAAAATACAGGAGATTTAAAAATAAACGCAATTTGAAAGTAGCGATAAACCCCGATTACAGAATACAGGTAATATAAATCGATTCCATTTTCAACTCTTGAGGACCCTTAACTTTCCCAGAATTATTTGAATTTTAAAGTATATGATGAAAATGCCGGGTATTTCTAAAGTATAAGAGTAAATATTGCAATGGATAAGCGGTATCAAAGGCTATTTCAAGAATGTTTCAGTTAAAGATTTACTATAAATTTTCTAAAACTCTGCTTATACTCTTGTAATATGCTCATTTGCCTATTTATCTAGTGTCTCAGTAGACTTCTAAACAAGTTTCATATTAAAATTAACTGTTGTCGTTGTATTCAGACTTGAATTAATTATATTGCATTTCACTTCTGGATCTTAAATCTAAGATATTCAAAGCTAGACTGGAACACGCATTAATAGGATAATCGATTAAGATTTTACAATAGACAGTGGGTAAGATGCATTAAATGTTTTACATTAAGACCTAGATGATAATTACCACCATCCTATAATGCGTAAGAATGCTTACTTACCTGATCCTGCTTGTCTATATTCCTCATATTTTTCATATAGCAAAGCATCGCCGAAGGCCTTCCTTGACGATATTGACCATATGCTTTGTCACTTTCTTTAAGTTCTTCAGCTATCTGCTCATCATGAATGGTGGTTAGCATATAGAGAGGTATTCTATCCATTTGCTTTAAGCAAAGAATAGGGCCTGATCGATAGGCAGAGGTTGATTTAAATGCAGTGCTTACACCGCGAATTATTTCAGGCATTTTGCTGGAATTTAGCATGCCACAAGCATTAGTTTTACGTCGGTACAGGAATGAACATAAATCGAGCGATAATCGGTTATTGTCCATGTAAATATTGTAGCCCTGGTCTAGTAGAGGTAGCAACAGAAATATAGCCAGCTTTTCAGCTTTATTAAAGTTCTCAGAATGAATAGGTAGTATTTGCTTTAAGCACTCAGTTGGATCTTTATCATTGACGTATAACTTAAATCGAAAAGTGTATCCAGTACTGCATTCGCAGAGCCGAATTAGTTTGATTCCGAAGCGGGTACGTTTAAAGCGAAAATCTTGAAGTTGGAGCCTTTTTTTCCAGACAAGAAAAGATTCATCGATTGCCAAATTCTGTTCCACGACATAAACTGCT